AGAGCCCTGAGGTCTGGCTCTAACATGACGCATCATCCTTGTAGCTTTGAAGTGCCCAAGTAGAGTGTTGAGCATATAATTTTAAATACATTTTAAATAAATTTAAACATATTTAAAATATTTTTAATTTTTTTTAACTAAAAGAATATTTATTTATTTTTGAGAGGGCGGGGAGGGGCGGCGGGCAGGGGACAGAGGATCCAAATCAGGCTCCACACTGACAGCAGAGAGCCCGACGCGGGGCTCGAACTCATGAACTGTGAGATCATGCCCTGAGCTGAAGTGGGATGCTTAACTGAGTGAGCCCCTCGGGTGCCCCTAAAAATATATTTTTTTTAAGTCCTTAGTTTCAGGGTCTACCACAGTAAAGAGTGATTGACATAACCAATATCAACAAAGCTCTCTGGGTCCTTACTGACTTTCCCGGGTGTGTCCTTCCTGGTGACACACTTTCTTTTCTTTTCTTTTAATTTTTAACATTTATTTACTTCTGAGAGACAGAGTGTGAGCCGGGGAGGGACAGAGAGAGAGGGAGTCACAGAATTGGAAGCAGGCTCCAGGCTCTGAGCTGTCAGCACAGAGCCCAACGCGGGGCTCAAACCCACGAACCGCGAGATGATGACCTGAGCCGAAGACAGGTGCTCAAGCGACTGAGCCACCCAGGCGGCCCTCCAGGTCACACTTTCTTTTTTCTTTTTTTTTTTAAATGTTTATTTATTTCTAGGAGACAGAGAGAGAGACAGCGTGAGCAGGGGAGGGTCAGAGAGAGAGGGAGCCACAGACTGAAACAGGCTCCAGGCTCTGAGCTGGCAGTCAGCACAAAGCCCGACGCGGGGCTCGAACCCACGAACCGTGAGATCATGACCTAAGTGAAAGTCGGACGCTTAACCAACTAAGCCACCCAGGCACCCCAACACACTTTCAATGGCAGACCAACGAAGGCCCAAATATTGTCTCCAATCGTCATTAGCTGTGTGTCTCTGAGTATCTGTTTCTTCTCCTAGGAAGACTGGAGTTGATAATTCTCACCTCAAGACCTGATGACACTTCCAGCATACGCACCGCTGTGGAGGGTCTGGTTATATCGAAACATGGCCCTGAGTTTGGTCAGTATCCCTTCTGTAGGTCAATATCTCCTCCGCAAAGTAGGGAGCAAGTTGCCCCATTTCCCTGGGTTCGGGGGCCCCTGGGATGTGGGACTTTCTGTGCTTAAACCAGGACAGTCCCAAGAAAGCTGGGTTGGCCGTCACCTTATCCCTGTGTCCCTCAAGGGCCCCGTCTTTTGGGAACTCTGTGTGTCCCTATGGTCCAGCCATTACAGGGCTAATGTCCCGGGGACCTGCCATTACTGTTGGGGCCCAAGGTGCATCATATATATGCATGTATGTATCTACACATATGGAATAGACAGAGCATGTAACATATAATGTCATGTGATATAATAATATATAGTACATATAACACACGTGTGTGTATCTACATCTCTCTGACATGTGTGAAGAAAAGCACAGCTTGACAAATCTTCACAAAGTGAACACACACAGTTACCAGCACCGAGATCAAGAAATGGACATAACCAGACCCCCAGGGGGGCTTCTTGCGTCCCCCTTCCCGCTGCTCCCCCCCACTCACCAATGGCAACCATTAATTGACTTCTTTTTTTTTTTAATGTTTTATTTATTTCTAGGAGAGAGAGAGAGAGAGACAGCGTGAGCAGGGGAGGGTCAGAGAGAGAGGGAGTCACAGACTGAAGCAGGCTCCAGGCTCTGAGCTGGAGTCAGCACAGAGCCCNGGGAGGGTCAGAGAGAGAGGGAGTCACAGACTGAAGCAGGCTCCAGGCTCTGAGCTGGAGTCAGCACAGAGCCCGACGCAGGGCTCGAACCCACGAACTGAAAGATCATGACCTAAGCGAAAGTCGGACGCTCAACCGACTAAGCCACCCAGGCGCCCCTATTATCTTGACTTCTAACCCCATAGATTCAGGGTGCCAGATGTACTCTGCGTCAATGGAACCATACCATATTCTCTCTCTTTCCTGCCTGGCTTCTTCTTCTTCTTCTTCTTTTTAATGTTTATTTATTTTTGAGAGAGAGAGCGAGCTAGAGTGCAAGAGGGGTAGGGGCAGAGAGAGAGAGGGAGAGAAAGAGAATCCCAAGCAGGTGCTGCACACAGAGCCCTGTGCGGGGCTCGAACCCATGAACCATGAGATCATGACCTGAGCCAAAGTCAGACCCCCAACCGACTGAGCCACCAGGTGCCCTGGCACAGGCTCACCATTTAACAATCTTGCCACATGGCTTCCTGGAGGGGCCGTACTGCCTATGTGTCACCAGCCGTGCGTGAGGCAACACACAGAATCCTCAGTTTCTCAGTTTAGCCATGTGGTGGGACATAGAGGCATCATCTCCAGGTCTTATATCTCGAGGTCTTTGCCTTGTGACCCATGACACCGTGCCCTGCGTCATGCCTGGATGGACCGTGTACTCTCCTTGATTCTGAAACGTCTGAATAAGTCCTCTGCAACCTGGTAAACTTCAAGGCAATGATGTTTTATCTTCCCAAAGGCTGGGCTAAGGGAGACCACTCCCCCTGCCCCAAGGCCCAACCTGGGGGACCCGAGACCGGCACCTGGGGCTTCCGATGTTCACTCGCCACTGGGTCCAGGGTCCCATCTGAGCAGGTGCTCCGACAGGTGAGGCCTGAAGGCTCACACCCCCTTTGTGGGTGGTCAAGGAGATAATCCCATTCTACAGGTGGGGAAACTGAGCCTGAGGGGTGCAGGGGAAAATGTCTGCTCCTGGACAGAAGGGGACTGGGTGGTTAGGGGCCAGATCACATAGATCTGGGCACAGAGTGGATTTTTCTTTCAGTTGTGGCCCCAATTAAGGCTTTGATCTTCGATCAAGAGCCAAAGTTCCAGCACCTGCTAGGGTGGGGGGGGTGGGGCTGTGGGAAGGGTGAGGCTTCCACAGCCTGGGAGGGACTCCAAGGGGTGGAGGCGGTAAGAGAAGGTTCTACTGGGGATAGTGATATTCCGCTCACTCTCTCTCTTTTTAATTAAAAAAATTTTTTAAATATATATTGTTGAGAGAGAGACAGTGTGAGCAGGGGAGAGCAGAGAGAGAGAGGGAGACACAGAATCCAAAGACAGGCTCCAGGCTCTGAGCTGTCAGCACAGAGCCTGCTGCAGGGCTCAAACCCACAAACCGTAAAAAAAAATTAAAAAAAAATTAAAAAAAAAAAGAAACAAAGGAAAAAAAAAAAAAGGGGCGCCTGGGTGGCTTAGTCGGTTGGGCATCTGACTTTCGCTTAGGTCATGATCTCGCGTTTCGCGGGTTCGAGCCCCGCGTCGGGCTCTGTGCTGGCTGCCAGCTCAGAGCCTGGAGCCTGTTTCGGAGTCTGTGTCACCCTCTCTCTCTGACCCTCCCCTGTTCACGCTGACTCTCTCTCTTCTAGAAATAAATAAAAATATTAAAAAAAAAAAAAAAGAAACAAAACCCACAAACCGTGAGATCATGACCTGAGCTGAAGTCGGACGCTTAACCGACTGAGCCACCCAGGCGCCCCATCTCTTTAATTTTTTAAATGCTTATTTATTTTTGAGAGAGAGACAGAGACAGAGAGACAGAGAGACAGAGCATGAGTGGGGGAGGGGCAGAGAGAGATGGAGACACAGAACCTGAATCTGAGCTAGGCTAAAGGTCAGGCTCTACTCCACTCACTAGGTCATTGGGTGTAGACGGGAAAGAAAGCTACTTGCCCGAGGGGATCCAGCTGGGAAGAAGGAGGGCCTAGATTTGGACTGAACTGACCCTTGGGCCATGAGCCTGACCTTCTGAGACCCACCTCTTCACACCTTCCCACCCCAGGGGGCTCTGGGCCCGACAACAGATCGGTGCACACGGTCCCAGGAGGAGGTGACATGGAGAGGCTGAGTCTCTTCTCTGAGGGTCTGCAAGGACCCTCTCTCCCTCTCCCTGCTCGCGTGGGCCAGGAGGGTCCTGTCTAGCACTGGGTTCCCCCATCTGTAGCCTCCTGTCTGCTCCCTGAGGGACAGACAGTGCCTCCCTCTCTCTTCAAACTAATGGGACCTGCCCTGATTCCCCAGCCAGGCTGCTGGCCTTAATCTCCCCCGGCAGGGGGTTTGCAGGGGGGAGGGGGGGAGGGAGAAAGAAAGGGCCCCTTATGGTGGGACACAATGACCCAGCCACAAGGCAGGATTACCAACCACCGGCTCCCGGGCGCGATCATGTGTGCATGTTGGGTGCATGGTGATGAAAAGACCCAGGGAGGGAGACAGAGGCAAAGACGATCAGAAGTGCCGAATGAGAGAGGACCCAAGATACAGAGAGAGCAGACACGCAGGGGAAACGGGCAGCAAGCAAATGGGCAGAAAGCAGGGGGCAGAGGGAGGAAAGGAGACGGAAGCGAGAACAGACCCCCGACTGTGGGACTTAGGTGTGTCCGGTAAAGAAACAGAGGTGCTGGGGGTTAGGGGGTTGCAGGGACAGGTAGACAGGGAGACAGAGACAGAGGGACACAGGATGGAGAGTGACGTGGGGGCACACGTGGCACGTGGTGGGACTGGCACAGCCTGAGAGCGGTAGAAGGGGAGGCACACAGACCGAAAAGGGGAAACTGAGGCAGCAGCCATGAACAATGTGGCCATATGGGTTTGAACCCGTCAGCAGACAGAATGTGGGGGAGAAAAATGGCAGAAAGCCCCATACCCCTTTATGTTTCAAATGATCCCTCAGCAACAACCCCCCCCCCCCCCCGCATTTTCCTTTTTCTTCTTTGATGGGACATCAAAGCTGAAAGAACGCCAGCCAGACCTGAGGAAGAACTTCCCCGGGGAGTGGCAGGGTGCTGAGGGTGTCCCCATCAGCCCTAACTGCCAAGATGTCATGGGGGGGAGGGGATTAGGCAGCTGGGCGCCCCTCCCCCTCCCCGCCAATGTCACCTCCTGGCGCCCAGTCAAGTCCCCCACCCCAGGCCAGGATTACCCTCTGAGATCCAGGCCACCGCAAGTGACATCACTCCCAGCCGGAGCTTAAAATCTCCCCATGTGAGGGGCCCTGTTTCCTTCAGCCTTTGCCTTCTGACCGCTCCCGCCCAGGCTCCGGGCCACCGGGAGAGCCCCCGTCCCTGTTATCGAAGGTGCGAAGGTGCGTGCGGCAGAGGGGGTGGATGTAAGGGGAGCAAGAGAGGGGGCAGAAGTCGGGTGTGTTTTATCCCCAACTGTGTTCTCAGCGCCCGGGCCAGGCCCGTGTGATGTTTGCTGCAGGGACTTACAGGGAACCGAGGTTCAATCCCGGTGTTTGGAGGTGCAGGGCAGGCTGTGAGTGCAGGGAGAATGGAGGGTGGACAGGGCGGGGGTGGGGGGGGACTCAGAGCGGCCTGTTGGGGAGGAGACTGGGGCTGGGGGCTTCTCGCCCTCCCCCCCCGCCCCGTCCAAGGCAACTTCCCAGCACATCGGCTTGTTGTGTTTTCTTTAAAACACACACTGCCTGAAACTGTCTCTTCATTTGTGCGTTTATTCACGGACACACACCCGTCTCCCCGCGGACCCCGGGCTTCCTCTCAGGGTAGACCCTGGGATGGCCCGACGGGGCCAGGAAGGCACGGATCCCATGCCGGTGGCCTGATTACTAGGGGAGGCGCCTCTCGACCCTAGAGACTCCTGCTTGCCTGTGTCCAACTTTGGTCATGAGCATGTGTGGTCCAGGCCCCTGTTGTCTGTGATGGCCGGGCTAATGGCGGCACAGGTCCAACAAAGGAGGACCTTGAACGTGGATGAGCTCGGGGAGCCTCCCTGGGGCTGATGTGGGGCCGCCTGAGTCTGGGCTTAAAGCCTCGCTGTGTGGCGTTGGGCCATTCACGTGACCTCTCTGGTCCTCCGTTTCCTCATCTGCTATGGGGACACAGTGACAGGGTCCCATGATGACTCAGTCAGAGGAGCCACGGGGAGCCTGTGTCATAGGCATGGGGACCCAGGAGAGGGAGCTGGCCTCATCCTGCTTTGGGGGATCTGGGGTGGATTTGGGGGTCAAGAGCAGGGGACTCTACTCTCTGAGCCTCAGTTTCCTCCTCTGTGATGTGAGGTTCATAATAGGACTCACCTTGTAGGAAGTTTTCACAACCTTACTGTTCCCCAAGATCTTGTTCCCGGGGCCCTCAGTGAATGTCTGAGTGCTCGGGACACCAATGGGGGGCCTTATGGTTGTCGGGGGATGGGCACTTTCCTCCGCACCCCTCAGGCTCAGTTTCCCCACCTGTAGAATGGGTTTATCTCCTTGACCACCCACAAGGGGAGTATGAGCCTTACCTGCTCAGATGGGACCCTGGACGCAGTGGTTGGTGAACATCGGGGGCCCCGGGGGCCCTGGTGCAAGGACAAGGGTCTCCCTCAACCCACCTTTGAGATAATGAGGCATCATTGCCTTAAAACTCCCCAGGCAGGGGGATGAGAGGGGTGCTGTCCGGCTTTGCGTGAGTTCTCAGCCATCGGTAGCACACACTGTAGTTATTGCGGTCTCTGCTTCTGCAACAGCGCGCACAAAGAGCCCGTGTCGAGCGAGGACGTCCCGAGGTCGTGAGGTCCCTCACCTTGTTGCCACATGCAGAGACAAATGTCAGCGGGTGTCCGATAGGATTCTCGTTATTATTCTCTGCTGCTGTCTTGTCACAAGGCCCTTGTTGGCTACGGGTCATTGTCATTATCAGCTGCTGGGTCTTGGGTGAGCACCTTCCTCAGCCCAGGCTTGGATTCCCCGTGCGAGAAGGCGGGGCTTTCCCGGAAGGCTGAGCCTGGCTCACCCGGTGGCACTGAGTCGAGTCGATGGGGAAGACAAGGAACATGATGGTCTTGTTCAGACCTCGCCCGTGGTCCCTGGCCCGGCAGTTCTTACAAGTGTCCCCGTTTCCAAAAGCTCTGCCATAGCATCGTCGCCTCATTGGAGAATAAGGAGAGGGACAGAGGGGGCCCAGGCTGGGTGCTGGGAGCCTCTGCCCCAGGGCTGGATCCCCGAGTCCCCACTGACAGCCTGCGGGTGACCCTGGGCAAGGAACCGTGCCTGAGCCTCAAGACATTCCCCTCTGTGAAATGGGAGCATAGCAGTAATGCATCGTCTGTTTCCCAAGGTGGCCCTGAGGATGTAAGAAGGCTCGTGTGCACGGGCTTCTCCATCGCTGTGTAACGAGTTACACTAACTCTGAGCATTTAGGGCATTTGTCTAATGACAATGAGCATTTAGGGCCTCAGGTGGTCTCTGAGGGACATGAGTCTGGGCGGCTCCGCTGGCTGGTTCCGGCTCGGGTCTCCCAGGGGTTGACCTGGGGGGCTGAGCCATCTGCAGGCTCGTCTGAGGCTTTGGACCTGACCTTGCCCAGGGGGTGGGTGCCATGGCTGTTGTGGGGGGCGGCGCTCAGGTCCCCGGCCACAGGGACCTCCCAGCAGGCCTGCTCCGTGGGAGGGGACAGCCCAAGGGAGCGAATGCCAGGGTGAAGGTTACTGGGGCGGAGGGTCTCCTAGAATGCCATGTGATTCTTCAGATTTAAAGCGGTTTCTGCTTTGATTGTAACCACCAGCACCGCGCTTCCCGTCAGGCCCCGCGCCATCCGGTTCCCTCTCCACCCGGATGGGGTCTCTCCCAGTCACACCGGCCCCTTGTTTCCCCCTCAACCGGGCAAGAACGAGGTCAGCCTCAAGCCTTTGCAACCTCTGTTCCCTCTGCCTGGAGGTCCCTTGCCGGGTTGACCAAAAAGCCTTCACTGTTCAGCTCCAGGGTCGCCTCCTTTTTTAAAATAAAAAAAAAAAAAGTTTATTTATTTATTTTGAGAGAGAGTGTGTGAGCAAGGGAGGAGCAGAGAGAGAGAGAGAGAGAGAGAGATACAATCCCAAGCAGGCTCTGCACTGTCAGCACAGAGGCCCATGTAGGGCTCATACCCATGAACCGTGAGATTGTGACCTAAGCTGAAATCAAGAGTTGGCCGCTTAACTGACTGAGCCACCCCTGCACCCCTCTGGGGTCACCTCCTTACAGAGAGGTCTTCCCTGACCACTATCTAGATGAGATGCCACCCAGGTGCCCCATAGGCCTTCTGTTTTTATTTATTTACCTATGTCTCTAATATTTATTGGTGTGTGTGTGAGAGAGAGAGAGAGACATGGAGAGAGAGAGAGAGAAGGAGACAGGGAGAGAGAGAGAAATCCAGTTTAGCGTGTGGGATAGCTCCCCACCCTGGGAAGTTATGCTTGAGCTGGAACATTCAGGAAGAGAAGGAATTAGCCAGTGACAGGGACCCAGCAAGAGGCACTCCTGGGGCTCAGTCGGTTGGGCGACTGACTTCGGCTCAGGTCATGAGCTCAGGGTTCGTGGGTTCGAGCCCTGCGTACGGCTCTGTGCTGACAGCTCAGAGCCTGGAGCCTGCTTCTGATTTTGTGCCTCCCTCTCTCTCTCTGCCCCTCCCCCCTTCCTCTCTCTTTCTCTAAGAAATAAGTATTTTAAAAAACCCACAAAACCCTCCCCAGTGACTTTGCAGTGACAGTCAGGCCTAGGTCCAAGTCCTTCCTCAGACCCTTTTTATTTTTATTTTTTATTTTTTAAATGTTTTATTTATTTCTAGGAGAGAGAGAGACAGCGTGAGCAGGGGAGGGTCAGAGAGAGAGGGAGTCACAGACTGAAACAGGCTCCAGGCTCTGAGCTGGCAGTCAGCACAGAGCCCGACGCGGGGCTCGAACCCACGAACTGCGAGATCATGACCTAAGCGAAAGTCGGACGCTTAACCGACTAAGCCACCCAGGTGCCCCCCTCAGACTCTTTTTAGGTGTGTGACCTTGGGCACTTCTCTCTCTGTGCCTTAGTTTCCACACCTGTACAACGGCCCTCCCTCCGCCTAAGGTGGGCATAGGCCTCCCTGAGACCCTGGCTGCTCCCCCGCTCTCCGCAGCTTTCCTTCTTGTGACCCCAGAAAAGATGTGCCGCCTGTCATGGAATCACGGACCGTAGCAGGGTCACCTGCTGTCCCAGCCTGCTCGGGGACACAGAGGTTTGCTGAGACGTGGGCCTTTCCCCACAGAACCTGGGAGAGTCCCAGATGGGAGAGCGGCGTGAGGCCACGTGTGGCCTGTCAGGGGGGCTCATGAACCCCAGCGGCGGCCTGATACTCCCGGGTCCGGAGCCGCAGGTCTCAGAACACACTGGAAACATTTCTCAACGCGAAATGCCAAAACGCCATCTTCCCTCTCCCTGCACCCCCCTCCCCGGGCACCAGCCTTCGGGGTGCCTCAGTTCCCCTCGTGGGAACCTGGGGATGAGAATAGCGTCTAAGTCTTCAGGTGGCTGTGCAGTAAGCTCCTTACAGCAGCACCTGCTACAGTGGGGGCGGGGCACCGGGCTGGGCCCTCGGCGTCATCTGCAAGGGCGTGTTTGCACGCTGGACACGAGGCTTTCTTTTTTTTTAGACAATGAGCGTGCAAGCAGGGTAGGGGCAGGCAGAGGGAGAGCACCTGAAGCAGGTTCCACACTCAGCCCGGAGCCCGATGTGGGGCTCGACCCCACGACCCTGGGATCATGACCTGAGCCGAAATCAAGAGTCGGACTGAGCCACCCAGGAGCCCCATTGTGGAGCCCCATTGTGGAGTCTTGAATAGGACCTCTCGGGGTACCTTGGTGGCTTAGGATTCTCCCTCCATCTCGCTCACTCTCTCTCTCTCTCTCTGCCCCGCCTCCACTCCCTCCCCTCTCTCACAAAATAAATAAGCATTTTTATTTTTTGTACATTTTTTTAATGTTTAGTTTTGAGAGAGACAGAGTGTGAGCAGGGGAGGGGCAGAGAGAGAGGGAGACCCAGAATCTGAAGCAGGCTGCAAGGTCCGAGCTGTCAGCACAGAGCCCGACGCGGGGCTTGAACCCACGAACCGTGAGATCGTGACCTGAGCTGAAGCTGGACACTTAACCGACGGAGCCCCCAGGCGCCACCCTCCCCCTTTCTGTAACCGGGGAGCGTCTGAGCGCCCCCTCTTCTCTTGCAGGCCCGCAGACCTGGGCCGCGCGTCCCCGAAGATCATGATGGCGTATATGAACCCGGGGCCCCACTACTCGGTCAATGCCTTGGCCCTGAGTGGTCCCAGTGTGGATCTGATGCACCAAGCTGTGTCCTACCCGAGTGAGTACGGTCCTCTCCTGGCCGCCCGGCTCTCGGTGGTGCCTGGGGGTCCTTCGTCCTCAGGGAGAAGAAGGTGGGAACTCACTGGGGTGACCTCAGAGCCACACGCCAGCTGGACGTAGTCACTTGCAAGCACCAAACTCACAGGCACAGGAAAGCACAGGGATCCGTCCGTGGCATTTTCGGATGTGGCTCCTTGTAGCTCCACTGGACACATTAATCCACTCCAAGCGGTTGAATACACTCAGTGGCACGTTTTAACCGAACGTGTCCTGGTGCATAAGAAATTTTATTATTTTATTTTATTATGAAAAAATTTTAATGTTTATTTAATTTTGAGAGAGTGACACAGAGCGTGAGCAGGGGAGAGTCAGAGAGAGAGGGAGACGCAGAATCTGAAGCAGGCTCCAGGCTCTGAGCTGTCAGCACAGAGCCCGACGCCGGCCTCGAACCCACGAACCGGGAGATCATGACCTGAGCCGAAGTCGGGCGCTTAACCGACTGAGCCCCCCAGGCGCCCCAGGTGCAAAAGAAATTTTAGACAGGGGATAAAAACCAATCTCTATACCTCCTTCTGGCCAGTTCTTGGGGCGAGGCAGGAGCCCCAAGATAACAGGCAAAGAGGACCCCCATTTCCCAGAGGGACAGAGTGAGGTCTGCAGGGTCAGGGAGTAGACGCACCCTTCTTTGGGGGCAGACGAACACCCAGGAAGGGCGTCTCGGCATCCCACGCGGGCTCAGGGCCTCCCACGGGCGGGCGGAGAGAACGGGAGGCCCCGGTGACCCGACGGCCCCCTGTCCCGTCTCCACCGTAGGCGCCCCGAGGAAGCAGCGGCGGGAGCGGACCACCTTCACCCGGAGTCAGCTGGAGGAGCTGGAGGCCCTGTTTGCCAAGACTCAGTACCCGGATGTGTACGCCCGCGAGGAGGTGGCTCTGAAGATCAACCTGCCGGAGTCCAGGGTTCAGGTGGGCTGTTCCCGGCCCTCCCCGGCCCTCCCCGGCACCCGACAGTGACGGGAGGATGGGGAGTCAGGGCGCCCAAGTCATAACCCCTCTCCCCCATCACTGTGCTGGCGTCTAACCTTTCCCTCTACCCTCTTTGCACACTCTGTTCCCTCCGCCTGGAAGGGTTTTTGTTGTTGCCTTTTTAAAATGTTTATTTATTTTTGAGAGTGCAAGAGCCAGGGAGGGGCAGAGAGAGGGGGACAGAGGGTCCGAAGCAGGCTCCGTGCTGACACCAGAGACCCCAGTGTGGGGCTCAACTCCCGAACGGCGACCCTGATCTGAGCTGAAGTTGAACCCAGGCGCCCGCCCCCTTCTACCTGGAAGGTGTATTCCCTGTCACTTTAAGTCTTTATTTATCGACCAGTGAGGTCACCATGTCAGTCAGTGGGACCTGCACGGACGCTTGCATTTAAAGTTGCAATGTGGGGGCGCCTGGGTGGCTTAGTCGGTTAAGCGTCCGGCTTTCGCTTAGGTCATGATCTCGCGGTTCATCGGTTCGAGCCCCGCGTCGGGCTCTGTGCTGACTGCCAGCTCTGTGCCGGCAGCCTGTTTAAGTCTGTGATTCTCTTTCTCTCTGACCCTCCCTCTCTCACTCTCTCTCCCTCGCTCTCTCTCTCTCTCTCTCTCTCTCTCTCTCTCTCTCTCTCCCCTAGAAATAAATACAAATATTAAAAAAAAATAAGGTTGCAATGTTCAGGGGCACTTGGGCGGCTCAGTCGGTAAAGCGTCAGACTCCTGATCTCGGCTCCGGTCGCAATCCCAGGTTTCATGAGTTCAAGCCTCGTGTTGGGCTCTGTGGTGAGGGTTTGGAGCCTGCTTGGGATTGTCTCTCCTTCTCTTTCTGCCCCTCCCCTGCTTGCTTTCTCTTTCTCTCCCTCAAAATAAAATAAACTTAAACAAAAGAGTAAAGTCGGGGCGCCTGGGTGGCTCAGTCGGTTAAGCATCCGACTTCGACTCAGGTCATGATCTCAGGGTTTGTGGGTTCGGGCCCCGGGTCAGGCTCTGTACTGACAGCTCAGAGCCTGGAGCCTGCCTCAGATTCTGTGTCTCCCTCTCTCTGCCCCTTCCCTGCTCACGCCATCTCTCTCTCTCTCTCTCTCAGAAAAATAAAAATTTTTTTAAAAAGTCACAATGTCCCCCCCCGCTCTATTGTCCCCTCCTCCCGCTCAGTCGGTTCTTCCATAGTATTTATCACCTTCTAGAATGTTCTAGAATGCCATGCAACTGACTGACTTACTATTTATTTATAATCTGCCCCTCTCAAAAATGTCAGCTCCATGGACGTGTCCCCAAAGTTCACACATGTTTATGAATTGATTGAGTGGATGGATGGATACGTGCATGTACGTGTGTTTGCACAATCGTGTGTGTGTGTGTGTGTGTGTGTGTACACAGTTGCAGGTGTGATGGCTGGCTGGATGGACAGACGGGTGGTCGGATAGATGGACAGAGCGTCCCCACAACCGACTGCTGAACCGGGAGGTGTGACTCTGGCCCGCATCATGGAGAGCCGCCACCATTGCAGGGCACTCAGCCACCCCATCTCCCCTCCACCCCCAGGTCTGGTTCAAGAACCGCAGGGCTAAGTGCCGCCAGCAGCGCCAGCAGCAGAAGCAGCAGCCGCAGCCCCCCGGGGCGCCGACTAAGGCGCGTCCCGCCAAGAGGAAGGCAGGCCTGTCGCCAAGATCCTCCTCGGACGTCTGTCCAGACCCCCTGGGCATCTCAGACTCCTACAGCCCCCCTCTTCCCGGCCCCTCGGGCTCCCCCACCTCGGCCGTGGCCACGGTGTCCATCTGGAGTCCGGCCTCAGAGTCCCCTCTGCCCGAGGCCCAGCGGGCGGGGCTCGTGGCGCCGGGGCCCCCTCTGACCTCGGCGCCCTACGCCATGACCTACACCCCCGCCTCCGCTTTCTGCTCTTCCCCCTCGGCCTACGGGTCTCCAAGCACCTATTTCAGTGGCCTGGACCCCTATCTTTCCCCCATGGTGCCCCAGCTGGGGGGCCCGGCCCTCAGCCCCCTCTCCGGCCCCTCCGTGGGCCCCTCCCTGGCCCAGTCCCCCACCTCCCTGTCAGGCCAGAGCTATGGCACCTACAGCCCCGTGGACAGCTTGGAATTCAGGGACCCAACAGGAACCTGGAAGTTCACCTACAACCCCATGGACCCTCTGGACTACAAGGATCAGAGTGCCTGGAAGTTTCAGATCTTGTAGAAGAGAACTCTCCTCTCTGCGCCTCGTCTGAACCGGCCCCGGGAGGGCGTCCCTGGGAAAGCAGAGTGGAGGCTGGGGGCTCTCTGGCGTAGTGTGTTGGTGTAGCTCACCGCAGCCCACCCCCCTCCTCTGGGGAGCGTCTCCTCACTCTCCCGGGCCGGGGGCGGGTGGGGCCCCCTTCAGTAGGTCTTAGGAACCCTCAACCCAGCCCCGGCTCGCGTGGCTTTAGCTGCCTTGGGAAACCACACATCCCAGACTCCAGAAATCCTCTCGGTGGGAATTTCACCACGAGATGAAATTCAAGCAAACTTGCCGTTGATCTGGGGGTACCAGGCCGGCCAGAACCAAGATGCCCTCGAACGACCAGGGAGGGAGGCTTCATTCTGTATCTTCCATTTAGGACACTTCCTTAGCAGATGGCTAGAGATTCTTCTAGAAAATCCAAAGACAGACTTTAAGAAGCCCCACTACGGAAGCTTAGGCCAATCGTACGGTTAAATTAAAAACTCCGTTGGCAGATTTCACAAATCTCGGGTTTACATGGTAGGTTTAGGGGGCTGTTTGATCGATCAATCTATTTTTTCTTCTTCTTAGTTTCTTAAAGACATGTCATCATTCATGCATTCTTTCGGGCATGGAGAATGGGCATATTTGGTGGGAGAATGGAAGGCAAGTTGCCTGTTTCATGTCTCCTTTTTCCCCTTTTGTTTTAGGATTTTTAAATTTTATTTTAGGGAGAGAGAGAGAGAGCAAAGCAAGCAGGGGAGGGGCAGACGGAGAGAGAGAGAGAGAGAGAATCCCTAGCAGGCTCTGTGCTCAGCGAGGAGCTCCGTCCCACCACCCTGCGATCATGACCTGAGCCGAAATCAAGAGTTGGATGCTCTGCTGATGGGGCGGTCCAGGCACCCCTGGGTGAGGATTTTCTAAAGGCGGATTTCACCCAGCCACACCCAACACACTGTCAGCCAGTTTCTGTGGTGTAAATTCTCCCACTGCGGCTGATTTCCAGGCACCCATCTGAGCTCACAGACCCAGAGCGGGATGCATGCTCATTGGGCTCAGGAGCCTGTAGGTCCCTGGTGCAGGGATGGGGGTCAGGAGGCGGGCATGGTGTGGAGAGAGGCCAGGAGAGGTGCACACAGCCCCTGAGACCCCTGCCCACGGGGCTCACTGGAGCCCACAGAGACAGTGCACTCAGCACACCACCATCTCTCAAGGGCCTAGGTCATGTCAGCCTCTGGGACGTTAGACCTGGGAGTGGCTCGGAGTCTAGCCTGGGGCACAAAGGATACACAGAGGGGTCCGGGGTGGGGGGAATCCAGGCGCCATTCATAGGGGAGGGACAGGGAGGAGGTGACATCGTATAAAAGTTGGGATGGGATGCACTGTCATTTATTCATTTTGCAGAGACTCCCAGAGTCTGTGTGGAGGCTGGGAGTGGGGTGGGGGGGGTCTCAGGCGTGTGCACAGGAATCCCCCTCTGCCCACGGGGCTCCCCATTCACAAGGGAGGGCGCGTCTGTGCAGACAATTCACAGGCACCTTGATGAGGGCGTCCAGGCAGGGCTTGAAGGATGGACATCACGGTTCTGGAGGGGGGGGAGGGGCTGGGGGCCCCGGTCACAGGCCAACGGGGATAAGATGTCAGGAGCCCCCTTTCATTCTGCGTCCCTTTTTCCACTCATTGGAAATCCAGTCCCCTTCCCGAAAAGCCACCCATGGAGTGAAAACAATTAAAATGTTGACTCTCACTTCAAGTCTGGGTGATTTTTTTTTTTAAATTTCTGTGAAGGGGTAGCTGGCATTGGGGAAGGGGGAGGGGGAGACAGCAGTTGCTCTGTCCTTTCCCCCCCTCCCCCACCTGTATCTCTGGGCACATGGGTCTGTCCACGTGCTTTCTGTCTGGTCACCGTCTTTTCCTTGGTATCTCCCCAAAGCCAATTAGGCAGGGACTCGGGCTCCAGACGGCTAGCTTCTCCCTGCTGTGACCTCACTGGCCCCCCTCCCTCGCCCTGCAAGGGAAGGGGTGACTGCCACACTTCCTGCCTCGGTGGCCTGGGGTGATGACAGAAGGGCTCCCTATCAGCCACCCTCAGGTCCTTCTTGTCTCTGCTTCTCTCTTTTATTTCTCCTTTTCTTTTTTGTTCCTGGCTTTCTGTTTCTCTAACTGTAAGGCACCATCGTCCGCCACTGTTCTCAATCCCTGAGTCCCAGGTTAAGGTGTGTGTGTGTGTGTGTGTGTGTGTGTGTGTGTGTGTGGTGTGTTGTGAGGGCATTGGGAGGGGGACACAGGGTTGGTGGGGACAAACAGACTTGCTGTCCAGGCTGGGTCAGCCACTTCTGGTCACGTGACCCCGGTCAATTCATTCCTCCCAGCCTCAGTTTCCCCACCTGTAACATTGAGAAGCCCTACTTCGAGGGAATTAAATGAGATCATTATACCAAGCACCTGTTACTGAACCAGGCCCATGGTAGGATGGACCAGTAAATGTTTTTTTGTGTGTGCTAAAAGACCCAGCATATAAAATTGACCATTATTATCATCTTAAAGTGTATAGTTGAGTGGTTTTTAAGCACATTCACAGAAGAGGCCAGACACAAAGGGTCACATATTGTACGATTCCATTTATTTATTTATTTATTTATTTATTTAGAATGTTTATTTTTGAGAGAGACAGAGCATGAGCAGGGGAGGGGCAGAGAGAGAGGGAGACACAGAATCCCAAGCAGGCTCCAAGCTCTGCACTGCCAGCACAGAGCCTGATGCAGGGCTCGAACCCACAAACCACGAGATCATGACCTGAGCCGAAGTCGGACACTTAACTGACTGAGCCCACCAGGTGCACGGGGCATATTCTGTGTCTTGATAACTGTAGTGATTCTATGACTGGATATGATTGTCCAAATGCCTCAAATTGTACTGTTAAAAATGAGTCAATTTTATATTATATAAACTATACCTCATTAAACTGGAAGGAAACAAATATCCATTGAGTACATACTATGTGCCAGACCCTGGAGCAACCAGTCCAAACTCTTTTAATTCTCACAACAATCCACCAGGGAGATGCTGTTTGTATCAGGTAGATGCTGTGATTACCCCCATTTCACAGATGAGAAAATTGAGGCGGTGGGAGGTCAGGTGACCTGCCCAAGTTCTCACAATTGGGAAGAGGTAAAACTGGGATTTATATTCATCTTGCTGGACCCTCTGCAACCCTCCTGGCCTTTCTCCCCTTCCCTCCGACTTTGGTCCTGCCTCATTCTTCCCTCCTCCGTCCCAAGCTCAGGTGTGTGTATGTCTGTTTTCTCACCCCCACGTGTCTGTGTCCTCTCCCCCCGCCCTTCACCCCGGCCCTCCTGGTCTCTGAGCCCCTCCCTGGCTGTTTCCTCTGTCCCTGAACAGGACTAATTTAGCAAATGCTCCAATCTTCTTATGATGGTCCAGCCTCAGCAGAATGGCTGGGAATTAGCAGGGATTAGGTTCAGACACATGACCCCCTCCCCCCCGCCATTCCTGGGTCCGGGGGAAGTGTGGGGGGCAGAGAGCTCCGTGAAGACAAGTGAGTTTTAACCGAGGGATGCCTTCCTCCATGGCAAAACACGCCTAGGACAGGTAGTGATGATGAAGTCACAGCCAGACTCTTCATGGGCACTTCCCATCCTCCAAGAGCCATTAGATACTTTGCTTGTATGTCTCCCTCCTTGAATCTCCATTACAGCCTCATGCTGTCCACATCATCCCCCAGCTCCCCTAATTTATGGATCAGGATGGGTTAGGGAACCCTCCCAAGGCTAACAGGACCGAGTCCCAGTCTTCCCAGTGCTTCCCAGTGCTTCTCAGGACACACACGGAACAGAGGCTGGGAGGGGAGGATGGAATGGTGCAAGTGTGACCTCCGCTAGGTGACTTCTGGATGGTGCTTTCAGCCCCTCAGAGTATGGAGGAGGCGGGGGGCCATCCAGAGGAGGTGAGCACGGAGAGGGAGGAAGAGAAAGCACAGTGCGGGAGGGGATTAGGAAAAGAGAAGCCAAGATGCCAGGAAGGGACTTGGTGCAAGCTGTGCTCCCTTCGTTAAGTGGGAGACGGAATCCTCCTGTGAACCGTATGGGGCTGGAGTTTTTTGGTTGGAAGGTTAATTATGCGCTGAGTTTCTTCAGCAGGTGTCTCATTGTTCGTGTTTTCAGATTTCTTCTTGGGTCAGCCTCAGAAAGTTGTATTTCTCAAGGAATCTGTCCATTCTTTTTTTTTTAAAGTTTATTTATTTATTTTGAGAGGGAGTGTGGGCAACCGCAGAAGGGACAGGGAAGGTGGGCGCAGAGCCGGCGCTGCGGGCGCAGAGCCCGACTCAGGACTCGAACTCACGAAACGCGAAATCATGACCTGAGCGGAAATCAAGAGTCGGATGCTGAATTGGCCAGGAGCCCCAGTAACTTGTCCGTTTCTTCTCTACGTCGTCAAATTTGTTGGCATATATTTGTTCATGATCTTCTAATTTCCATTTGCTTTGTCCATAGCGTTAAATGATCTATCAGATCTGGATAAGAAGAAAGCCTAAAACCAATCATCTTTTTTTAAAAATTTTTTATTAAAAATTTTTTAACATTTATTCATTTTTTAGAGAGAGAGTCCAAGTGGGGGAGGGGCAGAGAGAAGGAGACAGAATCTGAAGCAGACTCCTGGCTCTGAGCTGTCAGCACAGAGCCCGATGCGGGGCTCGAACCCACGAACCATGAGATCATGACCTGAGCCAAAGTCAGGCACCCAACCAACTGAGCCACCCAGGCGCCCCAAGCCAACCATCTTTAACAGCATCTCAAGATGTTAGAAATGAAGGTAGAAATAGTAAAGATGAGAGCAGAAATTAAAAACATAATGATTCAGACCAGCTGAATCAGCATCATCTGGGAACTTGTCAGCAATGCAAGTTTGGGCTCCCACCCCCAGCACCCACTGAATCCGAAATGAGTCGGGAGGGGGAGGCTTGGTAGTCTGGGTGCTAATACACCCTCTGATGCTGCACAGAATTTGCAAATCTCTGGGGAGAGGTGCTAGGGAGATAAGTTGGTTCCCAGGCAATTATAGTATTTGATCCATATCACCTGCAGGGTGGAGGTGGGCCACACCACCGGTGGCATCACCCTGGAGACAAATCTGTGGGGAGCAGAGTGGGTTCTCCCAGCTGCTGTGATAGGTTCTTTCCTGAGCGGATGGTCAGCTGCGAATGCTCTTATGCATGTGTGGGCAGAGCCTGGGATAGCCCATTATACAGGTGGGGACCATCAAGGCCGCCGGGGGAGGAGGTCTTTG